CCTCATGCGGTCCCCGACACTCATCCCATGGGTGCCACATTTTCTCTTGGTCTCACGCGGTCCCCGATACTTTGTCCCGCTAGTACCGCATTTTCTCTTGACCTCACGTGGTCCCCGACACTTTGTCCCGCCAGTACGGCATCTTTTCTTGGTCTCACGCGGTCCCCGACACTTTGTCCCGCCGGTACCGCATCTTTTCTTAGTCTCACGAGGTCCCCGACACTTTGTCCCGCTGGTACCGCATCTTTTCTTGGTCTCACGCAGTTCCCGGCACTTTGTCCCGCCAGGCGTGAATCCTCACTTGGCCCATGACCCCCTTGTCGCTGCATCCTGGCGGCCTACTTGGCTCGGCTACGTTTTCTCGTGCCGACGCCTTACGTATCATTCACCCATTTCCCTCGCTTCTTTTCTCTCTTTGCAGCGCGAATCCTTTGCCACTACTTTTCTTGGCGGTCCTCCTCCGTTTCGTGGGAAGGGTTGCCTTCGCCACTTTCTTGTGTATCTCCGCCGCTCCCCGTTCCGTCAATTTTCTTCTTAGTCCATTGGTCCTCACGACTCTTGGCAGCTTCTAGGTTCCTAGCGCCTATGCCTAAGCCTTGATCTTTCCATCCTTCTTGCCTCTAGTTTTCTCTGTCGTGCACAAATTAGCCATATACAGTCTCTCAAGTGACGGGAAGTCATTTGGGACTCACCAGTCCCGACAACGGGAAGGGTCTTCGACAGGGGAAAGTTCGGGAAAAGTTGGGGGAAGCAAAAGAGGACCCCAGGAAAGTAAGGGAAAAAGGGACAACGACAGGACAAGTCCTCGAAACTCAAACGGTACCACGCCCAAGAAAACGAAAGTCTCGGACGCACGCCGTAAGCTGGCGGAAATAAAAAAGCGAACCGCAGAGTATAAGGCGAGGCTTATCAAAAAGATGATGGCTGGGAACGAAAGAGACTTTCTGAGAGAAGGGTCACGAGAGGAACGCAGGGCCAACCAGGACGATGTTAGACACGGAGGAAAGGATAATAGTCATAGGGGAACACCCAGCAAGAAAGGGAGGGAGAAGGGGGACTCCTCGGCCGTAGACACAGAAAAGGCTACGACCCCACCTGCTATGGACAGTAGTGCTAGCCATCTGCCCGCCACGCCGAAAGTAACGAAGGGGTGCGACGAATTTTGGAGTCTCAGAGAAAGGGTGTTAGGATGGTTTGATCCGGAGGGTACGCCAAAAGTCGGGGAAAAGCAGAGGGATGATAAGGAAGGAGAAGGGTCCATTGTGGTCGGTGAAGCGGGTAGCTCCGAGGGGTTCTCAAGAGGATAGTAGTCACCCTCACCCGGATTCTGAATAAGAATCAGGGGTATCTTGCGGATGCCAAGAAGAAACTCACTTTCGACGGGGCGAACATTACGGAGTTCCTGATAGACTACGAGAACCTGGCAACCTTGTTGAAATGGAGTGAGGAAGAGAAGATGGACCACTTAGGGCATCATATGTCGCTAAGCTTAGGAAGGGACATTATGGCTATCGTCGCCTCTAGTGGATCCTGGAAAGAGACCCGGAACGAGATGATGAGGAAATAAATTAAGGCAGAGAAAATGGCAACAAAAGTTGAGTTGGCAGCGGTCCAAAAGAACAACTATGCAACTTACAATGACTTCCTGGGGGCATTTACCCTAGTGGCGTTACGGATTCCCGAGGTAACAGACCGAATAATGAGCAAGTATTTCCTCAGGCAGTTTTCCGAGTTTGACAAAGATAAGATCACGTCGGCCTACCAACAGAATAGTAAGTTTAAGTATACAAGGGATGTGGACTTCAGCACAGTAACAGACCTCGCAGAAAAGACAGTGGTGACCGAGACGGTAGCCCTGCTTAAGGAAGGAGAGGTTATAGACCTGACCGGAAAAACAGGGGAGAAGGTCAAGAAGGGGATAGAAAGTCTGCATGAACGAGTGCACGGGGTTGATAACAAGATAGAAAAAGTGGAAAATGCGCTACTAGTAATGCAGGCACAAGTATCCCGACCCGCCCTCCCGCCCCAAGAGGTCGTAGTTCCGACGGCAGTAGCGAATCGAGGGTATGGCAGGCGGGATCCGACTAATGAGCAATCCAAGTATTGCACAATGATCATACATTTCATGCGGACCTGCCCAAGACTCAACCATGATATTATGAGACAAAGATGCAGCTGGTCCCTTAAAGGTGAAATTTTCGGGCTTCACGGAGAGCGCATAAACTGAAATTCGCCAGGAGGGATGCGGCGTGTCGTCATCATCCTGAATAACCTGGATATAGCTATCGTAGAAGCCGAGTCGGTAACTGACATTGTTTGGGACCAACCGAGGGGGCACGGAACACATCAATTTCATCCTAGAGGGTAATGGACAGAATAGGGTGAACATCACCACCCGGCGGGTAGGGGCGGAAAAGAAACTCATCCGAGATATGGTAATGGAAGAGGTCGCAGGGACTAGCGCAAATCAAGGTGAAACCGAGACCGGGGAGCTGGAGAAAGTCTACGGAAAAGCAAGGGAAGAGGAGCCGATAGACAAAGCGGTGGGGGCAAAGAAGAAATTCAGGTACCAGATTCTGATTCTGACTATGGCAGAAATCGACGATACCCTCATCAAACTGCTAGGTACCATGGTATCTGTATCCTTTCAGACCACGTTGCAAGCAAGCCCGAGATTGCTTAAAGGACTGAGGTAACTACTAACACGCCGACGCGTAGAGGTAGAGGAGGCCCCGGAACCACAGGAGCAGGAAACAGAGGAGGCTGAGGCACCGCACGGGGTCTCAAACCTCCAGAGAATTCCAGGGGATCTGGAGGACCTGGAAAAAGGTTTTGCGGACATCCGCTTAAGCCTACCAGACCGAGAAGGTGGTGAAGTCATGAGGGCACCGCCCGATACAAAGCTTAGCTTCCATGCGCTATCCGTAGGAAAGTTAAAAGTCCAGATCGGAACCCACCACACAGATGCACTAGTGGACGGAGGCGCGGAAATTACCCTCCTACGATGAGACTTCACAACAATTACGGGTTGTACGGTAAACAAGGAGGTGACGGGGAGTATCCGGGGAGCCGGCGGGGAAATTCCCTTTGCCGGGTACGTCACGAAATGCGCAGTCAAGGCGGGGGTCAGGGAATCGATCTGGTCTTTCTACCGGATGACTGTGATGGAAGAAATAAACCATGACATAATTCTCGGGAGGCCATGGTATGCCAACGTAGAAATGATAGGTATGCATCTGCATGGTGGATATAGAGGACCCAGTGACCGACCGCGAAGAGCTCCTTCGACTCCTTGGGACCGGAGGGGACCCTCCGAAGGGCAAATTGGCAACCTGGTCGCCAACGTTCGAAGATAGTGCGCGAAAAGGGGCATTCGCCCGGATGGAGGGCATGAGGGAAAGAGTGGAGATCATGATTGAGGAGGCCTTTAGCAAAAAGGAGTGGATAAAGATGGGTCTGCCTCTGAAGAAAAGGAGGCAAGAGGACGAGGTCCTAGGGGTTATGGTGGCAGAAAAGGAGTCGGAAGTCGAACTTGGGGCTAATTTTTTAAGAGAACGATCCCAGAAGGGAGTGTGCGAAAGTACAAACCGGTAGGAAAAAAAAACAAGCCGGTCTCAATCCTAGGATAAACATCAAGGGAAGAGGTCATGAAAAAAGAGGAAGAAATCTTACGGATAATAAGGGAGAGGTGAGCAGCGGAAGGGCATCGAATACCTGATGAGGTAGCAGACACCATGAAAATAGGGGTAGATGGGCTACTAACGGTGGAAGAGACCCAGCTGATAAGGAAAGTCTGCCAAGAGTTTTATTTAGCTTTTGCCTTGAATGACCACCAGAAAGGTCGATTGGATGCAAAACTAATCTCGCCCGTTAGGATCCACATGGTGAAACACGAAAGCTGGAACGACAAGGAGCCTGCCTACGAGTTTGGAATAGCGGCGGAAGTCACTGAACTGCTTAGGGCCAAGATAGATTCGTTCGTGGCCGAACCCTCCGCATCCCCCTACGCGAACAAATGGTTCGTTTTTCGGGAGCCCAACAAAATGCTCAGATGGATCCAGGACTTGCAGAAGCTGAATGCAGTAACAATCCGGGATGCGAGATCGCTTCCACAGGCCGACCTACTGGCAGAATCCCAGGCCGGCCGGAACATTTATTCCTTGATAGATCTATATTCAGGATATCATCAACTGCCACTCGACGCTAGGGATAGACCGTACACTGCTATGCACACCCCGGTAGGGCAGCTGCAGATGCAAGTGACTCATATGGGGTTTACAAACGATGTGGCAGAGGCGTAGAGGAGGATGCTTGCGGTCGCAGGGGATATGTTCCGAAAAATTGCGAGCCGTATATAGACGACAATCCCATAAAAGGCGCGCAGAACAAGGATGAGACAGAGGTCCATCCGGGCATACGAAAGTTCGTTGGGGATCACCTACAGGATATCAAGGACCTACTTTAGCGGTTTCTGGTATATAATATTACCACAAGCGGACCAAAGAGCATCCTAGCGGTCCCAGAAGTGACCATACTGGATTTTCGCTGTGGGGCTTATGGGAGGAAGCCCGACCCGGCCAAGACGGATCTTTATCAAAGGCTTTGCAAAAATAGCTGAGCCTATCCACACAATGATTAGGGAAGGAGGGACTATGGAATGGACCGAGGATAGGGAGGCGGCATTCCAGACCCTCTAAGGCATCCTGTCCTCCGATCAAGTCACCTTGGCAGCACCCTGCTTCAATGACGAAGTAGGACGGCCCTTTATCTTGGAAACAGACGGAGGACCATTGGCAGTAGGAGGAGTCCTGATACAAAGGAGCGAGGAGGGCAAGAAAAGGCCTATCAGATTTGAAAGTAGGACCCTTAATTCGGCAGAGCGACGATACTCACAGTTCAAGAAAGAGGTCTTAGCCATTCTACATTGCCTTAAGACCTTTCAGGCATACCTATTCGGAAGACGATTTATCATGAGAATCGATCCGACCAATGTAGCCGGGGCATTAAAGAACTACAAGCCCATAGACCCGACCGTTGGGAGATGGATAGGCTTAATATGGCAGTTCAACTACAAGGTCGAGCGAGAATTGCGGGGCTCCGAAACAGGGCAGACGGGCTAAGTCGGGCTTGCATCACGCCGGAGGGAGTAGAGGATGCGGAGCTAATCGACGTTTTCCTGGAGTACGAAGGAGGAACCCTCGTTGCAGAAAATGAGATGATGAGCCTTGCTTGCACGCTAGGACAATTGTTGATTCAGACCCTGAAGAAAGGGGCGCCTGCTGTAGTTGCGGAACTCAGGGACGGGTCCGTCACCACGGTTAGACGCAGAGATGAGAAGGATTCATGGGGAGCGACGATGGGGCTGAAAGAGGAGTTGATGGCAATGGCCATTGAAGGGGGTCGGGATGTCGTGATGTGCCTAGTAGAGACTTGGACGCGAAAGGAGCGGCAGTACCTAGTGAGTCAGGCTCAGGAAAAGCAAGATACCAATCAGGAGGGACCAGAATTCTTCCTTGTACAGATGTATGATGGCATCTTCAGGGAAATCGGTCTATTGCTTATAGGAAACAAACAGCCTATGGAAGTCAGCCTCAAGGCAAGGGAGGAAGTTGAGAGGTATGTCTTAAGGAATGACCACCTGCTCAAGAGGGAAGAGGGAATGATACCTAGGCGTGTCGTGTGTGGAAGGTCTAGGCATTTGGACATAATTCAGGCAATGCATGATAGGTTAGCCGGAGGGCATCGGTCATCCAAAGAGACTCTTGCAAAAATCGCGTCACTTTACTTCTGGCCAGGTATGGCAGGTATGGTGGCTACGTACTGTCAAACGTGTCTGATATGTCAGGAAAAGAGCCCCGCACGTGTCTTCGAGCCCCTTAGACCTACTCGGGTACTGGGGCCGGGGCACCTGGTCCACCTTGACCTTGCGGTCATGCCTGTATCAACGGATGGATACAGGTACATCTTGGATGCAAGAGATAACCTCAGCGGCTATGTAGAGGCAGTAGCTCTTAAGAGAACACCCAAAAAATGAGTGGCTGACTAGATAGAAGACTTTTACCTAATGCATCCCTTTGTGCGCAGGTTCATAGCGGATAATGGGACGAAGTTCGTAAATCACGAAGTGCTAAGCAGGCTCAAGATGTTGTGCGTACCTATCAAGATCATCGAGCCATACCATCCTGAGGCCAATGCACCTGTAGAAAGGGGGCACCGGACCTTGAAAAACACAATCGCTAAGCTGGCGGCTGATGACCTGGGAAACTGGCCTCGGTACCTTAAGCAGGTGGCCTTCTCAGAGAACATGACGCCGAAGAGAATGACGGGGTGTATTCCGGCAGAACTCTGGCATGAGAGGGAGATTGATTTCCCGGTGGAAGCCTTGGTTCCTACCTGGAACAGGCTAGATGACAACCCGCACATGTCTACGGAGAAACTAATCGCCGCACGATGCCAACAGGTCATTAGAAATGAGGAAGCCTTGGAGGATGTGGTTAAGCGTGTGATGGGTAGCCGAATGAGGGACAAAGCAAGGTGGAACCAGGTCAAGAACATCCGGAAAGAACCGCTCCAGGTGGGGGAAATGGTACTAATTAGGAACTCGGCTCTTGAAAGCACGTGGTCTGGACAGCTAGGAAGAAGGTTCAAAGGCCCCTACAGAATCGCTAAGCGGGTGGGACTGAACTCTTTTGAACTTGAGGATCTTGACGGTACTCGGATAAAAGGGTCATTTTCGGGGCAGAGGCTGGTCAGGTTTTTTGGCCGGGATCCGGTGGAACAATGGTTGCAAGATGCTCAGGACAAGGAAACAGGGGAATCGACAACTTGAAAGGCAGGCAATTGGCCATAATTCTGTACCGCTTCTCTGCGGAAGTGGTCATGACTGGAGGGGTTGTTCGTTTTTGTGTCTTCTTTTCTTTTTGGGGCATGGGGTGACTTCTTGGGCGGACTATGTATGGGGGTGGGAGCCTGGGACAATGTATCATAGTTTTGTGGGACAATTTTGGGACTGCCCATATGGGGTACCTATGTGCTGGGACAATGTACCAAAGTTTTTGGAGGGATAATGGGACTGCCGCCTATGCCGCCACTCTGAGAGGACTACCAATCATGTGGGGGCAAGCACGGGTTCTGGGGAATGAGACTGCAAATTTGCAATGGGAGTGGGAGGAATGTGTGTGTATGAGGGTTGTTGAGGGGTTGTTTTGTATGAACAGGACCAGGGAAGAAGAACACAGCAAGTAAAAGTTAAAAATGGAATTTGAAAACGAGAATGATAGCAATACCATCAACAGGCCCAGCGGGGAACAAGGGACAAGACCGGCTGGGGAATCAAGCACCAGAAAGAGGAAGTTGTATGTGGATTTTGACTCTAACTTGGTTGTGGGCAGAGGGGGAAGGAAGCAAGGGACCAGAGGACCCTCACCCCTGAAGTAGCGAATTATTCCCAAGTGAAGAATCAAGTAAAACATGAAGAGAAAGTTAGAAAACAACACATTTGAGCTCACACACACAAGGGGAAAAGTAGCGATTTACATAGGAGTGGAAAAATGGACAATGCAAGCACTCTACACTACAAGAACACTAGATTATACCAAGATTGAAGTAGCAAATTACTCCCAAGTGAAGAATCAAGGGAAACATGGAGAGAAAGTGAGAAAACAAAACATTTGAGCTCACACACACAAGGGAAAAAATAACGATTTACATAGGAGTGAAAAAATGGACAATGCAAGCATTCTACTCTACAAGAACACTAGATTACACCACGATTGAAGTAGCGAATTACTCCTAAGTGAAGAATAAAGTGAAACATGGAGAGAACGTGAGAAAACAACACATTTGAGCTCACACACATAAGAGGAAAAATAACGATTTACATAGGAGTGAAAAAATGGACAATACAAGCACTCTACACTACACAAACACTAGATTTTACCGAGATTGAAGTAACGAATTACTCCCAAGTGAAGAATCAAATGAAACATGGAGAGAAAGTGAGAAAACAACACATTTGAGCTCACACACACAAGGGAAAAAGTAGTCGTTTACATAGGAGTGAAAAAATGGACAATCCAAACACTCAACATTACACGAGCACTAAATTATACGAAGATTGAAGTAGCGAAGTACTCCCAAGTGAAGAATTAGGAAAAACATGGAGAGAAAGTGAGAAAACAACATATTTGAGCTCACACACACAAGGGAAAAAACAACTATTTACATAGGAGTGGAAAAATGGACAATGGAGAGCCTAAAAGTAGAGAATGGAGAGCCTAATAGTCCCCTATTAGCTATCCTAATCCTTGGAAGACATCCATGGAAGGATGAGGAGAAAGAAGAAAAGAGGGAGGAAGAAAAAGAAGAAGGAGAAGAAGAAGAAGGTGAGAGAAAGAAGAATGAGAGGGAGAGGAAGAAGTTGMARAARAARAAAAAAAAAARAAAAAAAAAAAAAAAAAAAAAAAAAAAAAWRAAGAGGAAGATGAAGAAGGGAAAAAGGAAGGAGAAGAAGAGGAAGAGGAAGAGGAAGAAGAAAAATTTCTCCACTCACCTCTCCTTGGTCTTGAGGCTGATATCCCAACTCTTGATGAAGGTTCTCCCCACTTGGCTATGACTTCCTTCCCCTCCAAACCCTTCTCCTTCCTCTCTCTCCTCCTCCCAAGTGTCACAAACTCCTATCACTATGGTTATGGAGTCCTCCCCTCTAGGAGGGCTAACGGGACTCATCTTAGCCTTGCCTTCTTCCTCACTAGCCTGGGAGCTATGGCGGATCACCTTCCCCACTACCACTAGCTTGTAGGCTCTCACACACTAGCTCATAGTCTCTCCTACACTCCCAAACTGGCAGGGGTTCCCGTTATTTCACTCCAAGTGAGTGTAGAGCTCTTATGGGCTCATTCGGGGAGTATGGGCACTCCTCATGCAAATGTGAATGTGGCGGACTGAATCCTTAACTTCTGTAGGTTGGAAATAGCAGTTCGGTCAGCCCATGGGCCTCCCCATGTGCCCCATAGTGAACCGAGGTACCCGCATGGCCAATTTTCACCACTAGGTCTCTCCGGGGGCACCTAAGCCTCATTTTGGCCAAGTACATGCAGTCCGAGTGGTTGGTACCAACTCGGCCTGCCCCTTGGGCCTCTTTCTAGTCTCTTACCACTTGAAAAATGCTGCCCCCTTGAGCCCAAGGTCCAAGGGATAGCCTACTTGAGAGAAAAAAGGCTCAGTGGGCATTTTTATCGATTTTTTCAAGTTTCGGCCTCCCTTGGGTAGGCCGGAGCATGTTTCCATGTGGCGGCATATTTTCAGCCTTGGATCAGGCTGAGATCCAAGGCCACCATTATTCCGAGCTAACCCATTGTGGTCCTTGCTTCAAATGTGAGCCCCTAATTTCAATTTTTTAGTTTTTGGTGCATCTGGCTCTCTTTTTAGGCCAAATGCGCTGTTTTGTATTTTTCCCTCTTTTGTTTTCTTTCCATTTTGGGCTGCCACCTCATTTCGGAGCTAGCCGTTTTGAGCTGGCCCACAAAAAACGGTTGTTTCTTCTCCACTATGAGATCTGATCTCAGATCCATGGTTGAAAAGAAAACCAGTCATTCCCTTTGTGCATTTTCTCTCATTCTTGCCTTTTTAATTCAGATATTGTTGAGATATGGCCCCAAGGGCCATATCTCATCAATCCGGATTGCCCTCCCTCATTCTAGGAGGGTGAGGTCATCATTGGGACCTGTCAGTCCCTACTGCAGCAGTCCCAATAGGCCGACACCTTCTCCTCCACCCTTTTCTCCCGTTTTGTCTCATTCTTCCCCATTTTCTCTCATTTTTTCTTTCGTTTTTCTTTTATTTTTGTTGTGACAAGTGTCAAACTGCTGTGCATTCTCTTTCTAAGCCTTAGAACCTCATTCATGGCCACGTTCATGGCCGGCTGTTAGCCGTTACATCTCGGCCTACCAAATTGGCATGCCCATGCCCCTAGAGGGCTCATTTTGTTCCCGTTAGTCTCAATTTTGAGCCCCCTTGACTCCGATTAATTTTTGACAGCCTTCTTCTTGCCAAGAGCCCCTTAAGCTCTAAATTTCTCATGCCTAGCTAGTCTGAGATATCTCGGACTGCTGGGCAGCCTTCCCATCACCCATTTTTCTTTGTTTTTCATTCCCGGTCCTCCCGTTTGGGCTCCACTAGTGCTTGAGCTAGTGGTGCTAATATTTCCCACCATCAAGATCTTCGATCTTGATGGCGCCATTGGCCTTACACACCCACTCCCTACATCGGCTTGTAGTTTTCCTTGGGACACCTCAAGTCCCCGCCGTTTTCCCGCGCTAGTCCCATTTTTCCGTCCCGCCGGTGATGCCGTCGACAATCTCGATTTTTGACAGTTTTTATTTGGGCTCATTTAGTCCCCGACATCCTCCCGGTTGATGCCCGATTTTTATTTGGGACTTCCTATGTCCCCGACAGCCCCATCTTATTGTTCCCATGTGCCTCAAGCGTGCCGATTATTTTTGGCCGCGAGCCCCCGCCTTGTCGTCACTATTTGTCGCTACACTCCCCTATGCCTACGTGCCATTTTCTAGTCCCTTGGACGTGCCGCGACTCATTTTCTCTTGGCCTAGGAATCCCCATGCAGTCCGTTATTTTCTCGGACTGCAGCCACAGCCAATTCTCTAGTCCCACAGCCCCACAACATGCCCCATGCTAAAAGAAAATGCAGTGTTAAATTTTTAAGTGCTTCCAGACTCAATTTTGGTTCCTGGAGCACTCAAAGCATGTGTTTGCCCCTCGCCATGTTATCCATTGCAACTCGGACTGCAATAGGGGGTTTTTTTTTTGTCCCAATGCCCCATAACTAGCCCCTAACTGAAAGAAAAAGAAGCGGCCAACTTCCAAGTGCATCCGGTCTCCATTTTGGCCTCCCCTAGGCAATTCTTTATTTTTCGGTTGCAAGGGGCCTTGATTTTCTTTGATTTTCTCCGCAAAAATAAAGAAAAATCAAGGTCCTTTGTAACCGCCATATTCCAGAATGAATTTGGTCACGGATGCACCTCCCTAAGTGGTCGTTTTTGACCGTTAGTGCCCTTTTGACTTTTCTTTTCTTTTCTCCTTTCTTTTTCTTTTATTTTTCTTTTCTTTTCCCTCCCACTTGTGGACAGTAGGGACTTGCCAGTCCCTACTTGCTGCAGTCCCTACTGACGGCCAACTCACTCATCCTCTCTCACCTCCCATTTTCTTTTTCTTTTCTTTTTCTCTTTGCATGCCAAGTGTCAAGTAGCCGTTAAGACCCTTTTCTCATTTTTCTTTTTTTTTATTTTCTTTTTCCTCCTTTCTTGGACAGTAGGGACTGGTAGGTCCCTACTTGTGGCAGTCCCTACTGACGACCAACTCACTCATTCCCTCTCACTCTTTTGTTTTTTTCCTCCCACATTTTCTTTTTCTTTTCTTTCTTTTATTTGCATGCCAAGTGTCAAGTGAACGTTTAGGCCCTTTTCTAGGCCCTCCCTCTTAGTTTTGGCCCTTCCTATGCCCAAGGGCCAGTCCGTTATTTCTCGGACTGCAGTTGTGGCCTTCCCATGCTCTTGGGAGTCTCCGTTTGCCTCTCCCTCTTCCAAACGGTAGACCCCCATACTCCGATTTTCTCCCGGAGGCCTATTTTTCTCGTGGAGTCCCTTCGGACTCCATTTTCTTAGAGGGAGGCAAATCCGAGATTTTTCGGGTTGATCCCATGCCTCCCGCTACTTGTTTCTTTACTTTTTATTTTTCTTTTGTCCTTCCTTCTTGCTCCCACTAGCGCTCGCACTAGTGGTGCAAATATTTTTGGCCGTCACGGTGCAACTTGCTTTAGTTATTTGCACCACGTGCCGCGCCATCATTTTTCCTTGGGACGTCATAAGTCCTCGCCACTTGTTCCGCACTAGTCCCCGACACTAGTCCCGCTAGCGGTCCCGCTGGTACTTGCCCCGCCGGTGGTCCCACCGACACTTGTCTCGCCTGTGGCCCCACCGGTACTTGTCCCGTTGGTGGTCCCGCCGGGACTTGTCCCGATACCGCATCTTTTACTTAGTCCCATGTCGTCCCCGACACTTTGTCCCGCCAGTGGCCCCCGACACTTTGTCATTTTTCTGCCTTATGGCGGCCTCCTTCCCTCATCCTTCTCGTGTCCCGTACACCGTCTGTCCTCCCCAAACGCGGGTTCTTACTTGGCCTAGGACCCCTTGGTCTTCTTGATGTTGCATTCCGGTGACCCCCTTCGTCCGGGCTACGTCTTCATGCGCCGGAACCTTACTAGTCACCTTTTCCCTTCCTCCTTCTTTGCGGCGCGCGCCCCACGACTTTACTTTTCTTGGCAGTCCCTCTCC